GACTTGCCTTGCTCAAGGTCTTCATGAAGCTTCACGAATCTTCGAGAAAACCCGCGATCGACGAAAATCCGGTAACCGCAACTATACGCAAACAATCGAAAACCTAAACAAAAGACCAAAAGAAGGATCCTATTTAGACTAATTAGTAGTGCCATTAAATAGATCTTAATTTTATGGAAATACTGGAAGTGGAACGGAGTCAATCGGACGAGCGGTCGAGGAGATATGAATTTTGGAAGTTTAATTGGAATTTCTAGAAGACGAGAGATGGTCTATGGAATTTATAGAAATAATATTCTCAAGAATATTATTGAATTTCACTGACAAGCAGGACCAAGGGAAAATGATTCATAGAATTTTGGAATAAGGAATTGATTTGTGGAAAAATCCCTTTTTGGAAGGGAAATCAAGGAGGGATGTATATTAGACTTGGGCCGAGCGAAGAGGGCGCGGCCCAGGGCATTTGCGGCGCGGCCGAGGCAAGCGGGCCGGCGCGCGGGAGGGAGGTGGCCCAAGGCCGAGCGAGGCGCGGCCTACGCGACGCAAGCCGGTGGACGCGGTCCACCGTGCCGGGCGCAAGGTGGGACCCACAAGGCGGCGACACAGCTCACGCGGGCCAGGTGCACGCAAGGCGGCGCGATGGATTGGAGGACCGGGAGACCTTTGACCGGTCTCCGCGGGGCCGGGCGGCTGAGGTGGCATCCACGTGGACGCCACGTCGGATGGGGAAGGGAGAGGAGGCCGGGAATGGCAACGGACGGCCGGCGGCGAGCGACGCAATCCGGCGAACGGCGGTGGGAGAGAGAGAGAGGTGGACACCGGCGGATAGAGGAGGTCAAGGGGAAACAATTCAACGGAGCGGATTAGCCGGGGAAGGAACGACGGCTGCTGGCGGCGGCGACCAATCTCGCCGGCACGCCGACGTGGCCGCGCGCGAAAAGAGCGAAGGGCGCGCGGGCTCGGGCTTAGCCGAACCGGTATGGTGTTGCGACGTGCACGCGGTGACGCGGGACCCGATGGTCGCCGCGTTCGAACTCGCGGAGGCGCTATGCGGCGGCGGAAGGGGCAGCATGGCGCGGGAGCGGGTTGGGAGGCCGACGACTGGGGCGGCAGCCTGGGAAGGTTCAAGGGGACACGGGGAGGGTCGCGGCGCAAGGAATCGGCGAGAGAAGGGCCGACGGCGGCAGATTGCGGCGGCGGCCATCGCCGGCGGGGAAAAGGGGAAAACTCGCTGGGGCAACGGGAGTCCAATTCACCGGGGAAGGAGCTTCTACACGGCTCCGGGAACTCGTTTCAAGCAACGGGCGGCGACGAGCTAGCCTAGGGGGTCATGGCGACGGCGAGGTGGACGCGACGGCGGGGCGGCGCGGCGAAAAGGGGGAGAGAGGAGGGGAGCGGCCAAGGCGACGTCCGGGGAGGCTGCTAGGGACGCGGGGAGGGTGATGGCGACGGGATTCGGCGCGGGACCGACCGGCGGTAGCGCGCGACTGCGCACGGCGGCCGCGGAAGCAGAGCATCGGCGTGACGAACGCACAAACTACCATGTCCCAGTGCTGTTTAGGAGTCGCTAGAGGATGTAGACGAGAGGACTTGGACCGGGAGCTCACCGACGAGCGGGAACGGCGTCGGCGGACGGATGGCGTCGCGGCGAGGCAGACGCGACGGCGGGGCGGCGCGGTACCGAGGGGGCGCGGCCGGGGAAGAAGGGAGGGAGAGGTGGCGATGGGGCAGCCCGGTGGCGGTCCAGCGATGTCTCGGTCGTGGCGGCGGCGGCCAGCGACGAGGAGGCGACGGCACTCCGTTCCCAGGAGCACGGTACCAAGGGGATAGATAAGGGCCGCGGGGTTGGGCTTTTATAGGAAGATGGTGCTCGGCTAGCGCTCATAGGCGGTGCGGCAGTTTCGTGGGCGGTGCGGAAGCGGCGACAGCGTGGATGTGTTGGGCGGCGAAGGCGGTAGATCGGACGGCGAAAAATCGGGTCACGAGAGCGGGAGGAGCAATTTGGCGCGGTCAAGGTGGGAGCGGCGTGCTGGCATGGTTGTGGTGGAGGCATGGGCGCGGCAGAGCGACATCGGCGACTCTGCCTCCTAGCACAAGGGGACAAGGGGAAGAGAGAGGGAAAGGGTGGAGGAGGGCGGTGGAAAGGGGAGCTTGCCTTTACCAATTTGGGAGGAAGAGGGAAGGAGAGGGGGGTCTCTGCCTCCGGGATTTGGAAGCACGAGCGCAGGATGGCGGGACCGGGTGGCAGCGCGGGCACAGGCGGTGCCAGGGCTTGACGCATCGGCGACCGGGCGGTCGGCCACGCGCGAGCGCGCACGGGAACGAGCAAAGGCGGTGAAGGTTTGGATGGTGGCGGCGGGATTTCAAAGGCGGTGGCGGAAATTGAATCATGGTGATGGCGCATAGCGCGGCGAGAGGAGAGAGAGAAAGGAAATAGAGAGAGCGAGGAAGGAGAGAGAAAGAAGAGAGGTGTTGCCTCTCTCTCCCGGCGCGTGCAGCGCGCGTGCGGGGAGGAGGAGGAGCGGCCGAGAGGAGAGAACCGGGCTGAGAGGAGATGGGCCGAAGGAGGGAATCGGCCCACAAAAATCCGAGGGACGCAAAATAGACTTTGACAGAGAGATTGAATTTGGAGAGAATTGGGGCTTGGAAATGGAATTTGGATATCTTTGGAGTCGGGCGAATATTTGGCAAGGTTTTGAGATTTGGAATTTGAATTTCGAATTTGATTACTTGGACTCAGGGAAACAGGGAGGAGTCAACAACGGGATTCAAAAAGGGAATTTGATATTTCTAGGACGGGGACAATTATTTGGCGGGGATTCAAAAAGATGCGATTCACCTTTGGGATAGTTGAATCGGAATTGGGATCTTGAGGTGGGGGATTTTGTTGGCGACGAGAGAGAACAACAATGGAGATTTGAATTGAGATCCACGGCACGACTTAGACTCTCACACAAAGAACGAAATTTTCACATATAGGATTTTGCCGAACTAGTTTTTAACGCCTCACGAAAAGCGGAGCGTTACAGAAAGTGGGAAAAATAATATTTCCAAGAGATAGCTAAAATTGATTTCGTATAATGAAAAGTGGGCTCTCCCTTTAAGAGTATTACCAAGAGATTGACAATAATCAATTCCCAAAACTATGTTTTTTGGAGTTCCTAAACTGAATATAGGAAGTAAGAAAAATAATATTTTCAAGAGATAGATTAAAATTGATTTCCTATAATAAAAGGTGGGTCTCCCTCTAACTACCAACAGAAAAAAAAATAGTTTTTCTGCTCCTCCCCTATGCACGCACCGCGCCAGGCCAGCTCCTCCTTCATCTCGCGAAATTTCTCTGTGCGCACTCGAGAGAGCGATTGGGAAAAAAAATCGCTTCCTTAAAGTGAAGGATAAGATATCTGGAGTTGGGACCTGAATTATTAGGAGACAGGTTAGGGATTCTGTTGGATGCGATTTTTTTTATCAAAATTTCTTAAATCTTAGGATAGGGAATATAAAGTAAGCTGTTGTTCATGCTAAGTAGGCCTACGTATCTAATTTGAGCTGGTGTTTGGGGTTTGGGTACTCACCAGTCACACCGATCAGCCAGGTTTGAGTAATCTTTGACTTGGGTCCCTATGAGGACATATTCGGTGAAAATGAGCTAAGTGTTAAAAACTTCATGAAAATCATACCTAAAAGTTTCGTAAATTCATGAAAAAAATACTAGAGATAGGTGTAGATATAAAATACATTCTCACCAAATCTCAACTCCAAACTCAAGTTAGTTTATGAGAAACAAAAAAGACAAATTTCAGGTGAATAGTGTCCTGTTACTATTCACCTGAAATTTGTCTTTTTTGTTACTCCTAAACGAAGTTGAGTTTGAACTTGAGATTTGGTAAGAATGTATTTCATATCTACACCTATCTCTAGTATTTTTTTCATCATTATATAACTCTACTATCTGTGTTTAATAATTCTGAACTTCTATAATTTGATCATACCAAATTATCCGTTTATGTATTATTTGCCCTACTTTGAAAACCTAGTGGCGGAGCCAGACCATCTATGCTCCACCACTGCATTCTTCACTCTAGATTACTTTAGAAAAGGTTGTCAAAGCAGAAAGAAGAAGCTATTCACTACCTGGGCTTAGCAACATCGTTGAGTCCACCATGGAGTAAACATACGTAATAATTCCTTGATAGTTTTTTAATTATACAACACAACATAAATAAATCAATAAAATTAAAGAGAGTATGATTGGGCCCAACGCATTGCGCCGACATGGTGGGTTCTCAACCCTTTAGTCCCATCTTCGCCTTATCCTTTTAGATCATTTTCCCCGTCTGATTATTTTGATTCAGACCACTCCATTTCCAATTGAAACTTCCAACTGGAAGAAAACATATTTTGTTTGCTTTCGCCAATGTGATTGACACCTGACAGATCTTGTTCTAAGCAGTCGACCGAATCGACAGAAAACAAATGAAAGCACTAACAAATGAAAGCACTAGCACAACAATTTTCCTATTGGTATGAAATTCGCATGGCACTATATATATAATATATATGTAACCGGCATCAATTTTTCCACGTACATTAGATTGTGAACACACATGCTAACATTTGGGTTGGTGTGATATTGTTGTTTAGTGGTGGAATAAAGCCACGGCAAGAACATCAAAGAGATGTATAAAAAATTAATGAGATACCCTTCCTGATTTTTTGGGGAATGTTCTATGCACCCTACTAAGCCCTCTATATACTCATATTTTAGAGGATTTGAATTGAACAGATCGAATAGATCGTTCTGGTCACATATAGAGAATAGCATATCTATTGACAAGAGCCAATACAAACGGAGAAAAAAAAGGATGGATGCCTGTTCGCTGTAATGGAAGTTGTAGGGGAAATGACCATACATTAGATGCAAAGTTACTGTAAAAGAGGATTCGGCAATTCAGATGAGCTGAAGTCAAGCCATGTCTAACCACATAAATCCCCAGAAATTATAGGTATAGTAAAAGAAGCCATCACATTCACTCTTGAAAATAAGAAATATATTGGATTTAGTCCCATATGGCCATATCGAACAAACCAAGAAATATATTGGTTTGTACATTTATTGCAGATCTAGTGAGATCTGGTGTTTCTGGCGTCCCACTATCTTGCACGACTGCAAAGGTCCCAAAGCAAAAGGACATTGGGGATACCAAGTTGGACTTCAGCATCGACAACCACAACCAAAAGATGAAGTTCTCTTCCAATTCTTCAAGGTCTCAATGAGTTCGAATGTAATCAGAAAACCAACTCAGGTTCGTGTTGATCTTCGTGGTTGACGTTGAGATGTCAGTTCATCAAAATGTTCCACAAAGCAGGGCGTGCAGAATTCTGTAGAGCTCACATGTAACTCAGCCATATTAATTCTGCAGTATTATTCATGTTTCAGTATAATAAAACGAAAACTTCCACAATTGGGAGATCCAATCTTTGGAGGAACAAAAAAAATGGCACTTTTGTTACCTTTGTTTACAACAATTTAAGCCTAGATATTTCAAAGTGCCTGAACCCCATTTTGTGACTTAAGCATAGGACAGCAAAATATTCTGCTATGCTAAGTACAATGCCATTAGAGGGGTCCTTGTTAAGAAACCACTACCATGATGCCATCTATGAGGACAAACGAAATGTCATCATCAGTTTGCCTAAGAGAAGCACCAACCACAACGTCATGCATATTATGTCATCTCAAATTAGCTTGCATGAAAATGAACTCCACCTTAAATAGTTAAATATCAGCCTGATGTATGTGGCGATAACCGATAGGGAGTTAACTGAAGATTTGGAGAATGGTAGTTTGGATGATACAGGTTACCAAATTGGCGAGCTTCATTTTGATCTCTCCTCTTTAGTATTAACTTTCTAATGCAGAAAGCTCAACCTCCTTAGTGCAAGGACGGTAAGCTGCAAAGCTGCTGTCGTTAGCAAAAGAACCAGGATTGAAGCAAGTTATTCCTGCGTATTTGAAGGCCTTCTGCTCGCTCTTGTCACCAAGTACTATCTGAAGAAGTTTTTCAGGAGAAAAATGAGCAAAGAACCTTCAAAACTTTTCTTGATAGTGGTGAATTGTAATAGTTATACAACAAAAGGTAATTATGCATGCACGGTCAAGCAATTAGATGAGTACAACAGCAGATTCATCATAACAAAATTTAGAGCACATTTCAAGGTCCTGAATAATCTTATTGTCCTAAATGGCATACCGTGTGAGGAGTAGGGTAGAGCCGAAGGCAATGATCATAGTTCCATATGATAGGCTGAACTGTAAGAGGCAATGGGCAAAGATGACTCTGATGGGTGATGGTTGCTACCAGCTGAAAAGAAATTGATTTGTTAATTTCTTAAACAATATATATATGTGCTTATTGAAATAACAAAAAGGAGGGTTGTTTAACATACATGCTCAAAAGGGTCACTTGTTTCTTCTGTTGTTGGGGGAATTAGACAAGACCGCCGCATTCTATATAGGAGGTCTTGCTGGAAAAACACAATTTCTTGTGTATAAAACTTCACCCTGGAAAATTACAGCTGTATAAAATTTCTTTATTGGAGATAGAATATACGATAATTGCAATCTGCAAAGTTAGTGCTGTGTTAATCATGACAACTCAAAAAGGGTTAATGCGTAGTTCAGACAGGATTTTCTGTGCCAATAGGTCACTTTATGGTAGTGTCAGTGGATAGTCGAGTATATGAAGCTTTTTACAAGATTTGACTGAAATGTCAGTGGAATCACTAAAGATGAATCAGATAAGGTCAGAAAAAATATGATAAAATAGGGAAGATAATGCTTAATACAAAAACAAAAGGTAGAATGTGTGCATCATGCATTATGTCACCGACCAAAAATCTGTTAATACACATCAATAGACTAGTACGGATATGGTGATTAAGCCTCTTCAAATCGTCATGAAGCTAGCACCACTGTGCACCATGATCATGGTATTGTGTGGATAGCTCTCAGAAAAATGAGAAGGTTAGTTTTGTGAGTCATCAAAATAACTACAGGTTACCAACAGCTTATAGTCTGAATCACGCCAGGCTATGGATGATAACCTGACCATAAAATGTGGACTCATGGTGAAATAATTGGGTGTTAAGTATTACAATCTAACATATACATCAAAAGAAACAGCATCATGCTTTCAGTTCCAATAAAAAGAAACCAGCATTTTTTATCCTCCTTCCTTGAGAAAAGGGAAATAGCACCATCACGCATGATGCATTCTTGTTCAAGGGCTTACATTTGACATTTCTAAATTTGGACATATAGTAGTTTTAAAAAGAGTGTTTTGATGGTGCCCATAGCATCATAAAACCTCAGGCACCATGTAAAAATGCAGATAATGACATGATCACACCAGACAGTATTTTAATGTCAAACCTGCAGGGGTTGCTTACGAATATTGCATTTGGGATGTGCTTCTGCAGTTCCTCAGTTAGATATTTTGGAAGTGTACACCTTGGGAGGGCTTTAGAAGGGCCTGAAATGTGTTCTCAAGTCAGAGAAATAGCACATCATAGAGAAACAAAGAAACGTACCATTCTAGTTATCTGAGATACAGATTGACATTATTTACAATTAACTAGTTCATTTCTAACCAACCATATCACAGCATTCCTTAATTTAAATATAAAAGGAATGTCGATAATAGTAGAGCATAAAAAAGATTAGATCAACCCAGATTTAATTCATTAGTGACCAAACAAAACTGAGCTGGAGTAAATTTACATGTTGATATGAACAGTTGTCAGCTAAAAGCATATCAATGAGTTTTGGAGTACCTGCATCTTCAGGACCAGGAATGAATAAAAAACGACTATGTTCCTTTAACCTAGATCGAGCTGCAATCATCTCACCAAGCTTTCCAAACTGTAATCTACAAGAAGTCTCTTCAATTGGAAGGTGAAAACAAAATGCAAGCTTTTACTATCTCATAGAACATAAAAGTCAGACCTGAGTTCTTCAAATGAATTGAATGCCAGATTGCAAGGCCGGGAGCAGAAATTGCCCATTAAAACAAAGAGGGAAGGAACTGCTTCTACACTATCATAACCATCAAGAACAACACCTAATTTCTCCATGGTCTTCTCTACGAGATAACACATTTGAACATCCCGAGAGAAGAGCTCAATAATAACAGTTAATTTGTATTAGGGACTAGTACAAATGTAAATACCTCAGAACTGTCAAGCCAAACATCTGAAAGTATCACAAACATATCATTCATGGCCTTCTTCTCTAAGGTTGATAATCTTACCTGTTTGACATATCCATTCATAAATGATATCATAAAGATGATTTCGAAAATCAGATTACATAAAGAACAGAATCATTGAACTTACTGTTTCTTCAGCTGCTATGACACCTCCACCGAAGAAATCAAGCCCCATAAGCATCGAAAGTGATGCTTCCCTATCCTCTAAAGGAGGAAATCCACATGTATTTACCTGCAGATGAGAGGAATATGATTACATTGAACATAACAATACAAGGAAAGAGCTGAACACATTCTTGTGGACAACAATTACAGACCTGGAAAATGCCATTTGAAAGCAATTCCCCTTCTGCTAAAATTACGGTGTTTTCAACGAAGAAACCTGAGGTGATTTTGTGCTCTGTGCTAAGGAAAGAAGTGATACTATTCTGAGTAAGCAAGAAATTATGGATCAAATCAAGTTTTGGTGCCGAACGTGAATCCTGCATTTATGCTATGTTATTCAATATTATCACTCTAATTTGAGTGGATCTTAGGTGGCTGAAGAAACTGATATTGATATTCAATTTGCAGATTAATCATACTACGATATATAATAATGGGTTCTCAGGATATAGCATTTGATAAGTCAATTGGCACAGCTCCAGTAAGATCCTCCAAGTAGAATTGGCGTTCCTCCAACTGTGATATGACCCCCATAATCCATCTCCGACCAGTGCACCCAATTAGAGACTGTATAGAAGTTATCTACATGAAAACACTGTGTAAGTAGTCACATACAATACCTAAGAATATTTTGGAAAAACCATGACATGAAACAAAGAAATACCTCACAATTATCATCTTCGGTCATAACAGTGTCAAAAGCTGGCTTAGAAAAGTATTTGTCACGAGCAAGCCTCTAAAGCAGAACCTGATACCTATCCCTGTATAGGGCTGCTTTATCTCCAGCTTCTCCATGGATGAGTAATCTGCTGGTATGCCTAGATAATAGCATAAGTAGTAAAAGATTGTAGGTCCTTTAACCAATTATAGCTTATAATTCAGGATTGATTAGAAATAATGCAACACAGCTTTATGCTCATGCATTCTAGCATCAAGTGAATTTGTGTGTCCTAATAAGGGGGATCAATGGGAAGCACCATATTGTAGCGATGGGGTCATGGGTGCATGCCTCCAGGGTTCAAATCCTGATGCCCACAGTTAAACGGACATGTGTGTCCATAGTGCAGAGGCCAGAAGTTACTTCCATTATCTAAAAATAAGGGGAATCAATTATATGCCGCTGAAGTAAATATTGCTATCATTGTCTTATTTGCATGTAGATAGGTTTGGGCGACGTGTCAGCCATACAGTAGTAGCGAATTCTCAACTGCTACTCATTTTCACCTAAAATCAAGTCCTTTCATTTTCCACAACCCAATTGATACTTATGAAGAGGTCAAGAGGGTAACAGTCTAATCTAGTCAAGCACAAGATCATGAGTACCAACAAAAAATGTTCTGCATCTTAACAAGTTTTCTCTGACACAAGGAAATGTCTAATCTAATTATTCTTCGTTGAGTCATGGAAGATTTAGCACACTTAGTATCCAATTTTGCCAAAGTAGCAATTCTCTAAACCACAGCTCAACAGTAATAAGCGGGGAAGGAAATAGCAAAATTCTCAACTGCCCAGACGGAATTGCCCAGATCTACAAAGGGGAAGCGGCATCTACATACTCGTAGAAGACTTTCTTGATTGGATCGTAGTGGAACCGTGGCACGACGAACGAATCCACCACCCGCAGCGCCGAGCGCGCGCTGGTGGCCGCCGGAGACGCCGCATCGACCGCCTCCTCCGCCTCGACAAGCAGCGCCACCACGCGCCGGACCGCGTCCCGGTCAAGGATCGACGACTGCAGTGCCCGACGCGCACATTATAGCCATGAAACTACCAAATTAGAGAACAGCAGACCACGGCGCGCGTACCAAATGAGACTAGAGGGAGAGAGAAGTTACGCGGCTCCTTGTCGAGCTCGTCGAGGAGGAGGTCGAGGGCGTCGTCCTCGGCGTCGGGGAAGCGGGCCAGGAAGGCGGCGGCCTCCTCGAGGGCGTCCACCTTGAGGGTGAACCCGCGCAGCCGGAACTTGCGCTGCAGCTTCTTCCGCGTCGCCGCCGAGGGCGTCGCCATGGGAGGGAGAGGGGGGCGTTGGGGAATGGCTGTGGCGGGAAAGCCGGGTTGGGGTTTGGAAATTGGCGGGAGCCGCGGTGGCGGTGGCGGTCGCTCGGACGACGAGGGCTGGCGGCGGCTAGAGTCGTCTTCAGTTCTTCACCGTGTCGCCAACGGCCCAATAGCTGAAGAAACCCATCAACTGGTTTATGCGGCTGGGCCGTTGCGGGCTGCCCCGTCGACCCTATTTAACCCAAGCTGGCTGGGTTCGTTTCTAATTGTGGAGAATACTTCTCGGCATGCAAAACATAATTAGCTAATAAATATTAGCTTAAAACATTTATAAAAAATTACTCCCTCTGTTTCAGATTATAAGACGTTTTGATTTTGGTTAAAGTCATACTACTTTAAATTTAACTACGTTTATGCACAAATATAGTAATATTTATAATACCAAATTAGTTTCATTAAATCAATAATTGAATACATTTTTAAAATAAATTTGTGTTAAGTTGAAATTATTACTATTTTTTTATAAACTTAGTCAAACTTGAAGTAGTTTGATTTTGACCAAAGTCAAAACGTCTTATGATCTAAAACGGAGGGAGGGAGTAATATGATTTTAAAGCGGAGTTTAACAGTTTAAAAAAACGTACGCATGAAAAACGAATAATTTAGTAGGGGATTTTTTTTTAGAGACGAAGAGAGCATAACAAAGAACACACCGTAGACAATTTGTGGCCTTACTGATGTGGCGTGTGGCAGCCCAGCAGGTCTACCCAAGTTGTTTTAGCCTTCTTTGGAAATTGGAACGCACTAGATTTTTTTAATGACTTTCATGGGAATTAGATCAAACTCTCTGAAATTTGGTACTAAAATTTATGGGTCTGACGTTTTCTGGAAACAATGGATAATTAGGAGTTTGATTCAAGACACGTGAACAGGGAAATTGGCATTTGAATTCAATTTCTATCCATTTGGATTATTGTATAAATTTTGAAATGGAATCCATTTTCTTACACTCACGGTATCATTCAAATGAGGCTCTACTATAGGATTCGAGTTCTATAGAAAGAAAATATATTAAGAATTAACATCATTTATGATGTATTATCATTTCTACTATATATGTCCTAAAATAAAGTAATTACTGACCATATTTGGATATTAGGATGTAGGGTGTATATTCAATAAATGAGATGTATGATAAGGGTGTGATGGATGTCGTGATGTTCTTAGATATTTTCCTAGCAAATATGTTCATGGAGAGGGTGTGATGGATGTCATGACGTTCTTATATGTGCTTTCTTGGAAGAGATGATATGGAGAAGGTGTGTTGGATGTCATGATGTTCCAACTGTCCTACCTTTGTGATTGTCGCTGTCCTCTCTTCTTTCTCCAATGATCTCATAACTTTCCTTAGGCTGTGTTTAGATCCAAAGTTTGTATCCAAACTTCAGTCCTTTTTCATCACATCAACCTGTTATACACACACAATTTTTCAGTCATATCATCTCCAATTTCAACCAAAATCCAAACTTTACGCTGAACTAAACACAGCCTTAACAAAGGAGTTTATGGCTGTGACAACTGCTCCTTTCAAAAAAAACAACTCCTATAATTTAAAATTCATATTAAAATAAATCAACTTACACATTCTTACCCATCATCGATTCACAAACTGAGAAAATATATCCCTTCCATACCTGTTACCTAACCACCCATCAGTCCTAAGTTTCAACTAATAAGGAGCATTTTAGTCTTTTCCCTTCTATTCTTATTGTTGCCTTAGGATAGTACACAAAGACCTTATGTTTCTTAAGTTTATTGTCAATTTGTTCCTGTGAAAGTACATCTAGGTTTTCTAAATGGGTTCTTTTACTAATTGATGATAAAACGATTAAGGGCCTAATATATTTAAGAAGTGTAGCAATAGTTTCTTTGAGGAAATCAATAACGCATGGTAATCCATAAAAGGAAAACAAAAGTGCGGTATATGGACCAAAAATAGTTGAAATTCATTTTTAATTTTGAAATTTGAGTCTAGGTATGTCGTATTATCAAGGGGACACATGCAATGGATTTTGGTGTAATCTCAATGTTCAAAACAACCCTTGATCTTTAGATGACATACACCTACTAGAACATGAACATTGGGCTAAATGTTCTATGTTTTTGGAGCTTGGGGACCAAAAGTTTTAGGCGAGTGTTATTTGTTCCAAGACTAGTGCTACTGTAAGTTTTGTTTTTGAGACTAGATGTTCTACATAATACACTAGGTTTGGCAAGAGGCTTGATCCAAGGTTCTAGATAAGATACTCTGCCAAGCAAAAAGAGTTGACAGGAAGTTCTTGTCCCTATAGCTAAAACTTTTGGCTTTTAAATCAATCCATCTATGAGCAACGACTAGTTTTCTATGGGCTTGGGTATTTGACTCCCCATCCACCTGTTTTCAAGGGGCTGACTATTCCCAAAACTGAAACACACTTCATAGCTTTCAAGAGTTTCCCCTCCTCCGCGACCTTAGATCTAGTGAATCTTTTGAGTTGGATTGAGTTAGATTGAAAAGCAAGTGAGGTTCGAGATTCATCCTTGAGCACTTGAGATTGACACCAAGAGCATTCGTCCTCCTAGCCAAGCCAGCTATGCAGTATTGTCCGTGAACATTTGTCAATTGTGGAATATCTTATAAGTTTCTTAAGGTGCTACCTCGCCTCTACATCAAAAAGGGGTAAAAGAGTGAAAACCAGGTTTAACCTTCATGGTCACCAGGTGAGATTTAGGGATGAGAGAACTTGGCTCTTCGAAGTTTCTCGGGAAGATGTAAGACCCGTGGATCCAAACTTAAGTAAATAAATATGTTCTCCTCTTCCCCTTTACCTTTTTTTTTTTGTTCTTTGGCTCAATCTATGTTGTTTGAGGTTGAGATGGTTGGTGATCTTGTTTAGTGCTTGTGTATTTGCTTGTCACCTCTTAGTTCTCGTAGTTTAGTTTTTTGAGTTTGGGTGTGTTTTATCTCGTGTTGGTTTGTTTTCTCTATGCGTTGACCAAATTATTTGAGTTGAGACTAGAAGTTCTGGATTTGACCAAAAGTTTTGCTATGTACTAATCCCACTAGGTAGTAATTTCTAACCTGCCAGAGCTTTCGGAATTTCTTAAATCTATCACTGTAGTTAAATCTACGATATTGTCAATATCCCCTAAAGAAATCTTATCTACCTCCCGGTTTAATGCAATAGCTACCTGCATGGGATTTACAGGTTATTCCATAGATAAGGCTGCAGCCCAAATATGGATTTTAATCTCTCGGGTGGACATCCACCCGCTTCTTACATGTTAACTAAACGATTATAATTTTTTTTAAAAAAAATAACAAAATAAATTAATATATAATATATCACTCCACAAATATGCAAGTTCGAATTCGACTTTTATAAGTTGTATCAAAAAATAATAAATTAAATTGTAACTAGTATACACATATTCACAATTAAATTTATTATTTTTGTTACAACTTACAAAAGTTGAATTTGAATTTGTATTTTTGTGAAGTGATATATTACATATTAATCTATTTTATTAACAATAATTTAAATATTTTCATAACCATTTAGTTACTAATAACGGGTGCACATCTACTCGAGGGTAGTTTTTCACTACAGGTTGCTGCTTCATAAAGGATTGGCTACGTAATTATTCCTTCTGGGTGCAGCACTGTAGCATCATGGCAGCCGACTAGCTCCATAGCCACAGACAATCCGTTTTTACATCAGAGCAAAGCTGCCGACACATTGTTCCTGAGGCCACCGAAGGCAGCGATTGGCACCATTTACACCAACTACAGAGACAGCAAGATCGGCTACGGCTGTGTTCGTTTGGAGAACAAAGCGAGTGAGTTTATTTCATTTTCCACGCGCACGTTTCCGAACTACTAAACGGTGTGTTTTTTGCAAAAAATTTCTATAGGAAAGTTGCTTTAAAAAATCATATTAATCTATTTTTAAAGTTTAAAATAGTTAATACTTAATTAATCATACGTTAATGGCTCATCTCGTTTTACGTCTCATTCTTCTCAAACACACGACGTCGCCAAAAGCAGTGACATATATCTGCCTGATTGATTAATCGGATGGACGATCGATGGCGCCTGCCTTCTCGAACAAGCGGGCCGGGTGGCGATTCTCTTTGTAACCATCATATATTTTCCTCCAGAACTTTGATCGACTTGGCTACATCATCGCGAACTCCATATATAATAAAGCTCGCGAAAGCGAAACTGACATGCACCATCGGATCGATCGCGCCTGGGAATTCCTCCACTCGATAAAGGTGGTGCTGAATCTCCTGAGGATGAACACGAAGATAAAGATTGATTGTTCCACATGATTAATTAAGTTTTAATTATTATAAATTTAAAAAATAAATTAATCTTATATTTTAGAGTAACTTTCATTCACACGAAATATACCGTTTAGCAGTTTGAAGAGTGTGCCACGGATATACGAAATTTCATCACCTCTTATTGGAGAAACAAACGCAGCCCCGACACCGGGACAACTCGGAGCGCGGGCGCCTCGCCGTGCCGACGCGTGCCTCGCCAACGTGTCGCAACGCCTCACTAAACAAAGCGGCCACACCACCACACGGCATCCGAAGAAGCCCACGTCCCCGTCGCGCCCGGGCCCCGAGTTGTCTCCCACTCGCCACTCGCGGCGTCACACGCACACCTCACACCACCACCACCACCAGAAGCAGCGTCGCGAAGAACTCGATTCCCTCGTCCGCGTCCCGCGCGCGGCCGGCGTCGCTGTCCCGGTGAACCGCCCGCAACAGCGATGGTGGTGAGCGTGGCCGCGACCGACTCGGACACGGCCCAGCCGGTGCAGTACTCCACCTTCTTCGCCTCCCGCTACGTCCGCGACCCGCTCCCGCGGTTAGTACTTAGCACCACCACCACCACGTCGTTTCATCTCAGCAGACATCAGTTGTTGTCACTTCTAATCTTCCACTATTAGTAGTACGGTTGCCACACTGCTAGCCAATCCACTTCGATTGGTTCCACCGCGCCTACCGAGTTTCCCTTGCTAGGCAGTAGAGAGAGTCTGTGATCGAGAGAGAAGAGGATCGAGCAGCTAGCAAGCCGGCGGGCGCCATGGTGCTCTCGCACGCGAGCTCCGGCCGGGACGACGCCGTGCGCTGCACCTTCGCGACGCGCTACGCCTGCGAGACGCTGCCGCGGTGCTGGCTGCATGCTCCGATCTCTCGGTTGGGTTTTGGCCAATTTGGGCGCCGCGCGGGGCTGTGCTGATCGATCGATTGCTTCGTTGTTGAGTGTGCAGGTTCAGGATGCCGGAGCAGTCGATCCCGAGGGAGGCGGCGTACCAGATCATCAACGACGAGCTGATGCTGGACGGGAACCCGCGGCTGAACCTGGCGTCCTTCGTCACCACGTGGATGGAGCCCGAGTGCGACAAGCTCATCATGGACTCCGTTAACAAGAACTACGTCGACATGGACGAGTACCCTGTCACCACGGAGCTCCAGGTCGGAATTAAACCACATGGGATCTTTCTTCTATTTTGTTCTCCGGGCTGATAATACTTGCCCTTTTGGACAAGGGTGAAGTCAAACTTTAGAATCTTTGATTATAAATCATTTTTAAAATATTTGTCTTTTAAATATGGTGACTATTATGGTGACTATATGTATAGATTAGTCTTAAAAATTATTTTAATAAGATCATATATTTGCTAACAATTTTATACATATTATAATAAAAAATAATAGTTAAAGTTGTTTTTTTTGGAGACCGTGCCCTTGTCCAAAACGACAAGTATTATCAACCCGGAGGGAGAACATATATATGGGGGGAATCCTGTTTCAACACAAGTAATGTTACGTACTCCCGTTGTGAGATTTGCTTTGAGATTCGCGCACCAGCATAGTTGATTGAATTCCTCTGTTTAGTTCAGCTCTAGTCTTAAGGAATAATTAATTTTGTGGAACTAATTAGTACAGCTCTAGTACTCCACTTCGCAAGGATGGAAGGATAAGGATCCTAACACCTGTTATTTGGGCAGTTGATAGCTGATCATAATTAGGTTATGGACAAGTTATGACACATCATACTTTTTGATGTGATTGGACTTTTCTGGGTCCATAACCAACAATCCTGGACAGTTTTCAGCTTGTTGCTGATCACAACATTTTTACTGAATATGTTCTAGAAAGAACATTTTTGTTTACTGAATGTAGAAAAGGGGAAGTTTTACCATTCACCTTGTATTCAAAATGACTCCAACCATGCCAGCAGGGAATTGGAAATTCAGATTCATCTTTATGGAACTGCCATTTGATGTTAGAGAGTACTGCTACATACGGATAACAATGGCATTTTATCAAACCTTTGTTTTGTGAGATTTTTTTTTTGCTGTTCTTAAAGGGAAAGGGAGATACTAAGAGGTATCACATTTTTTGCTGTAATTTCTTTTTAAGTTGAAACTGAAACCACATTCAAATAAAGTTCTACTGCTCTCTTCTCACTGTACATTTGTATTATTTGGAAAGTTAACTTACTGGCTATTTATTGATTTTTACCAGGGCTTTTTTTTATCATGTTTCAGCTTTTTTTGTTAACACACAGTCTTGATTTAGTCATTTTTTAGTCAAGCTAATGACATATTCATTCAGAAAAAAAGAATAATAGCTACATCTAACTATTGTTTGCTGACTACTTGCATGTACTTTTGCAGAACCGTTGTGTGAATATGATAGCTCACCTGTTCAATGCACCAATCAAGGAGGATGAAACAGCTATTGGAGTTGGGACGGTGGGATCCTCAGAAGCAATTATGCTTGCAGGACTGGCATTCAAGAGGAAGTGGCAAAACAAACGGAAGGAACAGGGGAAGCCATGTGACAAACCCAACATTGTTACTGGTGCTAATGTTCAGGTATTTTTGTTTCATTGTCATGTGAAGTGTTTTTATCTTAGCCATTATAGTTATCTAAGAAAAAGGCCTGTGGTGATTCCCCGTGTTCCTAGGTTTGCTGGGAGAAATTTGCCAGATATTTTGAAGTAGAACTGAAGGAGGTTAAGCTCAGTGAAGGATACTATGTCATGGATCCTGTAAAGGCTGTTGAAATGGTGGATGAGAACACTATATGCGTTGCGGCCATCTTGGGCTCTACTCTCACTGGAGAGTTTGAGGATGTTAAGTTATTGAATAATCTCCTAACAGAAAAGAATAAGGAAACTGGGTATGCATTTTATCTGTTCTTTAGTCAATCAACTATCTGCGCAATGCAACAGCTAGCAATATGCATGCTTTAGGTTGTCTCTGGAGGTCGATCGGTATGACCAGGAAAACTGGTAACCTGTTGTGACCAGATTACTTAACTATTCTTTTGTCAATCCCTCATTACTTGTTTTTATGCTCAGCTGTGTGTGCCAAAAGAAAACAAAAATGTATACAAATTTTTTATTTGCAACTCATCTTACATAAATTGGCCACACTTCTTGCAAGGTAGTTAATCTGTTACACAAAACATGCAGGTGGGATGTGCCAATTCATGTTGATGCAGCAAGTGGAGGATTTATAGCACCTTTTCTATACCCTGAGCTTGAATGGGACTTCAGGCTACCACTGGTGAAGAGCATCAATGTCAGTGGGCACAAGTATGGCCTTGTGTATCCAGGTGTTGGTTGGGTCATTTGGCGAAGCAAAGAGGATTTGCCTGAAGAACTCATTTTCCATATAAACTATCTGGGGACAGACCAGCCGACGTTCACTCTGAACTTCTCCAAAGGTACATACATTTTCTTGTAGTTTCATCACCAAACTTTAATTCTTTTGTATTTCAACAAACCAAGTTCAAGGCAATATTGTGTAGGTTCCAGCCAGATAATCGCACAGTACTATCAACTAATACGCCTGGGATTCGAGGTACTTTACTTTTCTTCATATCCCTCATGGAAACTGCAGAACATTTTCTTTGCCGAGCCGGCGGCAAGGACCCGCTGCCAGTTTATTAAGATTGGGACAGGTTTTTGACAAGAACAACAAACATGGTTGTTGTGACTTCAGAAACCAGATAGTATCCACGCAGGCGCTCATATAAACGCTCTTCCTCACATAAAAAAGAGAGTTTCTGGCCATTTAGAACTATTTTGGTTTCTTTCTGCAGGGATACAAGAACATCATGCAGAATTGCATGGAGAACACAGCAATACTAAGGGAAGGCATAGAGGCGACTGGTCGATTCGAAATCCTCTCCAAGGAGGCCGGTGTGCCCTTGGTGGCGTTCTCGCTCAAGGACAGCGGCAGGTACACCGTGTTCGACATCTCCGAGCACCTGAGGAGGTTCGGCTGGATCGTGCCGGCGTACACCATGCCGGCCAACGCCGAGCACGTCGCCGTCCTCCGCGTCGTCATCAGGGAGGACTTCAGCCGGAGCCTCGCCGAGCGGCTCGTCTCGGACATCGTCAAGATCCTGCACGAGCTGGACGCCCATTCGGCCCAGGTGCTGAAGATCTCCAGCGCCATCGCGAAGCAGCAATCGGGCGACGATGGCGTGGTCACCAAGAAGAGCGTCCTGGAGACCGAGAGGGAGATCTTCGCGTACTGGAGGGACCAGGTGAAGAAGAAGCAGACCGGAATCTGCTAGTGTGGCTCTGTGAGAAATGCTTGAATAACGTGGCATGCTCGATTTGTGCATGGGATGGCCGGATCGGATGGGACTGACTGGCGGTGTACGGACATGGCTGCCCTTGTTCTTATGTTGAACTGTTGATGTAGAAAAATGTGTGGCCTTTGTATGGTTGTAAGCCATCTACGTACCATGGACTTCAGCTATTTGGTGGTTTGTTTTCAACTTTTCCATGTACACCTGGGGCTTGCCAATCTCCTTCCTCCTCTTTTTAATCTCTATAATTATGGGCAAAGTTTTATTATTATTTAGGACGAAATAACCAATCGATTCAACTTGACATACCATCTTTTAATAATAGAAATGGATTACATTTCCAGCTTCTATCATGAGACACAGAGCTATAAGTTTGTTAAAAAAAGGGTAAGATAAAAATAAATCAAAATGAGAAAAGACACACAGAGCCATAAGTTTGTTAAAAAAAGGGTAAGATAAAAATAAATCAAAATGAGAAAAGACACAGAGCCATAAGTTTGGCTAAAAAAGGGTAAGATAAAAATAAATTAAAATGAGAAAAAGGGTGATGGCACAGAGCCATAAGTTTATTAAAAAAAAAGGTAAGATCAAAGTGAGAAAAAGGGTGTATGGCTAAAAAAGGGTAAGATAAAAATAAATTAAAATGAGAAAAAGGGTGATGGCACAGAGCCATAAGTTTATTAAAAAAAAGGTAAGATCAAAGTGAGAAAAAGGGTGATGGGAAAAATCTCCGACTCCCCTTTAATATTGAGCATTAAACCACATACTTCCTCTATCCTAAAATATAAACAATTTTAGTATAGTGACAAGTCAAACATTTTAAACTTTAACTATTAATAGCAAAAATATAAAAAAAATCAACCATGTAAAAATGATATTACTAACAAAGTATTATAATACGCGACTCTTTTTATTTAAAACATTTTATTTTTATAGATATCGTTAGTCAAAGTAACATCTCGGAGACCGTGTCAGAGTCTAAAAACGCTTATATTTTAGTACGGAGGGAGTAGATTTTTTAGCTAGCAATTCTAATAAAACTATATCACCTATAGTGGAATAAGAGACCCTTAGCTACCGATTCAAATAATATAGCACCATTGCGTATAGCATCCTGCTACTCCTATGATAGCATCGTAGACTAAAAGTTGAACCAATAGGAAGATATGAAGATAATATGTATAGATTTAGATAATTATTTATCATTAAAATCTTTATCATTACGATAATGTTAAATTGAACAACTTACACCACTAGCTTCAATTATAATATCCAACTTGACATATGTGGGCCAAATGGAGAGACGTACGCGCCACAATTCACCATTGATGCAGTGAAAGAGAGCAACTAGCTGACCACAACGGGCACGGCCTTGAGAGGGATGGCACGGAAGTTGGCAATGGTAAACCTGTGGCGCATGTCCAACTCCTCGGCCGACACGCCGTCGGGGAGTCGCCACTCGAACGCGCGCAGCAGCGACGCCAGCATGAACGGCACGACACGTTCCGCCATCGGCAGGCCGGCGCACACCCTCCGGCCGGACCCGAACGGGATGAACTCGAACGTCTTCCCCCAGAAATCCACCTCGTCATCATCTCCCCGGCGGATGAACCGCTCCGGCATGAACTCCTCCGGCCTCTCCCACGCCGCCGGGTCGCGCATTATCGCCCACACGTTGAAGATCACCATCGAGCCCTTCGGCACGCAGTAGCCGCCGACCTCCACGCCGTCCTCCACCGCCCGGTGGGGCAACAGCAGCGGCGCTGCCGGGTGCAGCCGCATCGCCTCTTTCACGACCGCCTGGAGGTACGGCAGCCTCGCGATGTCGGGCTCGTCGACGGTTTTCTTGCCGCCGAGAGCGCCGTCCATCTCGGCGCGCACCTTGGCCATTTCGCTTGGGTTGCGGAGCAGCTCGGCCATCGCCCACTCCACCGTGGCCGTGATCGTGTCGCTCCCGGCTATGAACACGTCGAGCAAAATGGTTGTCACGTTTTCGCGGACGATCTTGCCGGTGGACACGAGGTCGAGGAGGGAGTCCAAGAAGTCGCCGTGCCTGTTTGCCGAGGCGTCGGCGGCGAAACGGCGGTCGATCACGTCATCCAAGAAGCAGGTGACTCTGCCCAGATACCTTTCGGTCAAGCGACGCCATCCCTGCAAGTCGAGCGGCCGGAGGAAAGGGAAGAAATCGGAGACGTTCGTCTTCGACACCACCTCCATGAGGAACGTCATGCTCTGCCGGAACTCGTTCTCGGACTCGGCGCTCAGGTCGACCACGTCGACGGAGAAGAACGCGCTCGACACGAGGCTGAGCATGCAGCCGTACACGGCGTGGCGGACGTCCACGACCTCCCCGGCGCGCCCACGGAAGTAGCCCACCAGGTCCCGCACCTTGCTCTCGCGGACGCCGCGCAGGGCGGCGAGGCCACGCGGCGAGAAGATGCTCGCCGCCGTGACGCCGCGGAGCGTCTTCCAGACGGTATCGGAGCTCGGCAGCCATATCATGGACCGGTCGGCGAAGTCGAGAGAACGAGTGACGTCCAGGACGGTGCGCGCGGCGAGGTGCCGGTCGTGCTTCGTGAAGGCCTCCCTCGCCGCGTCGCCGGAGGAGATGACGACGGTGGTGGTGAGGCCCATCTTTAGCATCATCACGGGGCCGTACGTGCGCGCTAGCCTCGCGAGCGCGGGTGGGAGGTGGCCGCGCAGGTTGAGCAGGTTGCCGACGAGCGGGAGCGGCATGGGACCAGGTGGACATCGTCGCCGGCCGCCCACGCGGCGTCTCCGGTTGCTGATGTAGTAGAGCAGTGACACGGCGAGTGTTGCCCACAGTAACCAGAGCTGGTTGACATCCATTTCTTGTTCACGGATAGTAGTCCATTCATAGCTCAATGCGCCGTTGTTTTTTGTAGAGCCACAGCGAGTGCCGTCAATGATTGAGTTCAGCAACGATTCAGGTCAGTCATTCATTCAGGGCAGTATCTATCGGATGACGCGGTAATACAATTAAGGAGGACGGTGGACACAAATTTGGTCAATGGTTAGCATTGGCGGCGCTCAGCCACGTCCATCTCGCTAAGCTAGAATGAAATGGCGTATGTCAATATGGGGACATTCGGGAGCCTCACAAAAAACAAAACAAGCGGCGATTAGAGCGGATTAATTAAATACTTCCTCCGTTTCATAATATAAGTCATTCTAGTATTTCCCACATTTATATTGATGTTAATGTATATGTCTAGATTCATTAACATTAACTAGCAAATATGCCCGTGCATTGCACCGGGTGAAAATCAAACAAATATAGATAGGTAAGACTGCTTGTGTAAAAAATATTGAATTTGTACATACCTCGCAAATATCTCCAAATTTTATTGACGTCCTCCCCCACCATGAGCGACAACGATGGTGTCCTCCCGCATCGGAAGCAGCAGTAGCGAAGCCCCCCCCCCCTCCTCCTTTAAGATTCGGTGGCGCACTCCCAACGGCGGCGGTGGCTTACCGTGGGCGGATCCGATGCCGATGGCGGTGGCGGCGGTTTCCCGTGGGCAGATTTGGTAGCGACGACGAGTCGACAACGCCAGCGGCTTCCCGCAAGCGAATCCGGCAAGGACAACGGCATTGGCGGCTTCTCGTGGGCAGATCAGGCGGAGATGATGGCGTTGATGGTTTCTCGGTGTTATTTTTTAATTATTCTTCCATTTTTTTTCTCTTTCGTTGGATTGTTCGAACATATTTTGTATATATATGCTTGTATTTTTGCTTTATCCATTGTGTTACTCGTGCATGGGGGTCATCCCCGCAGCCACTTGCTTGCCGCCCTATCCTTCTCCCCAAGTCGTCACTGTCGCCTTTGCCTCCCAACAAGGCCTCGAGCGCCACCCGCCTGGCCCTCCCTCTCTCCATAGCTAGGGGCATTTTGGTCATAGAAATAGTTATGACTCCTCGAAGTGGCATTTTATTTGGTAGACGACATACTGAGAGGCATTTTATCCAGTGCATCCTATTTAGTGTCATTTTATCGAAACCCCACATATAGAACCATATATTGTCCATTTTCTCCATATAGACCTTCCTAAGACGCTGTTTGGATGAGGGACTAAAATTTTAATCCCTGTCCCATCGGATGTGTGGATGTTAATTTGGAGTATTAAAAAGTGATTAATTACAAAACTTATTCCATAACGCTAGACTAATTCGTAAGACGAATCTATTAAGCATAATTAATTCATAATTAGCCTATATTATACTACAGTAAACATTTTCTAATTATGGATTAATTAGGCTTAAAAAATTTGTCTCGCGAATTAATTCTTATTTATATAATTAGTTTTATTATTAGTTTATATTTAATACTTTAAATTAGTGATCCAAACACCACCTAAATATACTATACGTGTAAGTGCTTCTAGCAGTATATATGTACAATAACTGACTTTATTAATTCAACGCTATTTTATTTTGATGGAGCTATGCTGGTTAGCTGCACAGCCATAGCAGCATGACTCTGCGTGTGACACAGGCACACACACCCTTATCTCTTTCTCCTCTCCCTTATCTCTTTCTTCTCTCAACCACAGCCACATGCCCACACACAAGCTTCTCTCAATCTCTCCTCCAAGCCACACGAAGAGCGCAGCGGGAGCGGCGGCAGCCTCGGCTGTTAGAATATGTATTGAATATACTAGTCCTATTTAGTTACAGTTAGACTCGGAGTTATAATAAGTGTTAGGGGTGGAGTTAGAGTCGGACTCTGTAACCCGGTATCTCTCTTAAATAGAGAGGGGGTATCACAATGTAACCATAGCGACTACAATGTAGCGTAGACACGCAGAAAGATGAGGACGACGAGGCCATGGACTCGTAACGGCTAGGAGCTATATTGGTTGGGGAGGAGCGCCCATAATCAGAGCCCCGGGGATGTAGGCTTCGGCTGAACCTCGTTAACAAATATCGTGTGTTCCTGTGTCGTCATCTGGCATGTCTTGGGTGATCAATGACTGAAGCGATCGGGAAGGTTAGTCGTCGTTCCGCTATATCGACTAACTTTTATAACAAGTGGTATCAGAGCCCATGGTTTAGAACCCGGAACAATTTCCATGGGTCACATCCTGGAGAGGCCAGGTAACAAGTCTTCGGGGTCACATGGTGACGGAGCGTGGGGCTCCTCACCGGGAGACCGCGTAGGCCCCCCTTTGCCGGTTCGGCCGGGGGCGCTAAGTGAGGTTCTTCGCCCTCGATCTGAGGAACGTCCGCGAGAGAGGAAGTGCACAAGACACGGGCGACGTAGACAGGTTCGGGCCGCTGAGAAGCGTAACACCCTACTCCTGTGTTCTAGTGGATCTGTGCGTGAAGGAATACAGAGAGCTCGAGAGCGAGCGAGCGTTCAGGCTCTAGAGCCCCTTCCTCTTTTTTCCTCTCCCTCCTTTTAGGCCTGGGCCTCCTTTTTATCTGTCAGGGGTCACCACAGGGGCCTCTAGCTGCCTAAGAAGGGAAATATGCTTTTTACAATGAGGGCTAGTCTACAGCCGGAAGTGACTTCTGACAAGCAGCGCCCGCGCCTCCTGCCCCGCTCGCCTGCTTTTCCGGTGGACGCCCATTTCAACCTTCATTTAATGGCCAGCGACTTCCTTGCCATACTTGCGCTGAAGCCTGAAATGGATCTGACCGGGACTGACATACCAACTCCAGGAGTTAGCACGCCGGCTCCGGCTAGGGACGAGAGCCAGGAAGCTCTCATCATTCCGACGGGACAGGGCGAGGCGTGTGACAGGCCGCCTATTGCCACCTAACCCGCGATCTGACCGGTCTGTGACCGGTCACACACCGCGGCTGGTCACGGACCGGATAAGCGTGCGCTGCGCCGCATTGAATGCGGCGTGGTGCGCTCGTCCAACCTGCTATAAATGCGGTTAGGTGAGCCCCGCTGTGCTCACCTAACCCACACACGTGGCGCCAAAACCACAGGGGGTCGGGGCGCCCCAGCCCTCGGGGCCGAAACGGGAGCGGCCCGACCCCTCGGGGAGACAGAGGGAGGGGTGGCCACGTCACCCTCGGGCCCGACCCCCCCGAGGGGGTTAGGCCACGTGGGTGACCGCGGCTACCCAAGCCTCTAGTCACGATACCCCCGGCCCCATGTCACCGACACATGGGTTAATGTGACGGGGGAGATTGTTGGGCCTGAAGCCTTCGGGGTCACATGTGATGGGGGAGCATGACTTAAAAGGTGGGGACGGTCCTCACCCATCAGACTAGTCTTTTGGGTTGTGTAGGCCCAGGACCTAAAGTTGTGGCTTCGGTTGGGCCTGTAGTGGAGCAGGCTTAACGTGACCTGGGTGGCCCACGGTTGGTGGGCCGGGCTGCGCACTCTAACAAGTGGTATTAGAGCAAAAGGTTCTACAGATGGATAGTTTGCAAGTGTGAAGGGCGATTAGATTGGTGGCGACAGGCTGGTCAGGTCGCATATAAAAATATCTGGCGGAAACAGGATATATCTAGGACTTGACTTAGGAGTTGAGATATATGGAGTTAGTCTAGAACTGAAGAAAATGACCCGGGCAACAGCAGGTCAAATATCGTTGATGGGATCAACGATACTGTTTGGCAGTACAGGATATGCGGGTCAACATGATGGGGATATATGGAAATCTGCGTCACTGAAGAGGAAGAGCAAACGCTATGGTGGTAATTTCTTCGGGTGATTCAAGGCAACGGTGATTTTCTCAAAATATCATGGATTTAGTCTACGGATGCGGGAAGGCGTGGATGTTGGATTTATTAGCTCGATTCATAAGACGACAAGGAACAAGGAAGAAAGGTTTCTCTTCGTGTCTGGTGAGTTTGATTTATCTATTTGGTGATGACATCGGTTATCTGGCCATGGATTAGATCAAGTCAAATTTAAAGACGGTAGATAGAGTTGAACATGGTCTTCGGGGAGTCTATGATGGGACAGCTAGGAAGGAATTCAATTTCGCTTGGCAAGACGACTGTGGTGATATGAGAGAAGGTGGAGCACTATTGCAGGTGGAGTCCAGAGGAAGAAGTTACAGAGATAGCATAGTCTCTTCAAGGCGGCGGGTCTTGGCGCAGGCTCGTCGGGCGGCTCGTGGTGAAGCTGTAAAGAAGACAACCCAAGTCTGGAGGACCGGTTAATCGGCATGGTGATTCTACTACTTCTAGGAGGCGTATATTCACCAAGGTGGAGTTTGTTAGAATATGTATTGAATATACTAGTCCTATTTGGTTACAGTTGGACTCGGAGTTGTAATAGGTGTTAGGGGTAGAGTTAAAGTCAGACTCTGTAACCCGCTATCTCTCTTAAATAGAGAGGGGGTATCACAATGTAACCATGGCGACTACAATGTAGCGTAGACATGCAGGGAGATGAGGACGACAAGGCCATGGACTCGTAGCGGCAAGGAGTTATATTGGTTGGGGAGGAGCGCCCATAATCAGAGCCGGGATGTAGGCTTCGGCTGAACCTCGTTAACAAATATCGTGTGTTCATATGTCGTCATCTGACATGTCTTGGGTGATCAATGACTGAAGCGATCGGGAAGGTTAGTCGTCGTTCCGCTATATCGACTAACTTTTATAACATCGGCCTCGGCCCCTGCGAGCAGCGGCAATGATGGTGGCGGCGGCCCTGTCAGGAGAGCAGCGACCTCGGTCTTGTCGACCAGTGTGAGAGGGGACAGCCTTGTCCCGATGGCAAGCAGCGGTCGTGGCGAGCAGCGAGTGTTGGAATTAATGAATGGGCCTTAGCCCACTCGAAGATTAATTCTTTGGAAAATCACAAAAGCCCACCTCATGGGATGGCATGCATGTGGAGTTTAGTACCACCTTGCTTATTCTAGGAGAGGGGGACCTCCTTAAAACGGAGGATGCCCTCCTAGTCGCTTGAAGCATGTGTGGTGGAGAGAAGAGGGGAAACACGCGCGCGCTCGCTCGCCTC